CTTTTTTGTATGATGTTTTAATATGCTGTGAGCCGCCCTGAGTCCCATGGGGAGAAGGGCGGCATATAAATCCTATAAAATAAAAAAATAAATAAAAATTTCAGACAAATGGTTGTCCAGTCTCTTTTTGAAAGCCTCCAGTGTTGCTTGGATTTCTCTTTAGGTGTATTGCAACAATAAAATGTTGAAAACATTTCTGAAAAACTTTGAGCTGGAATAATAAACAGTGTTGCATAATTTAAAAACTTTTCTGTATTAGAGGATACTTAAACTGGAGTGTGTGGCATATCCTTTTGTTTATTAATGTATAATGTATAAGAATACCAGAACAAGACAACATTTTTCCAGGTGAAGGACAAATGGGCCAGAAAGCAATTTAACTGTAATCTCCAATCCTCTTTGACACAATAAATACTTTAAACATTATTGTTTCAAAACATGAATTAACTCATATTACCAATAATTAACATTTGATTTTTATAGAATGTGAAATATAGATGATTTGGTTACTGAGGAGTTCAAAAGAACTAAGCATATCCCTTGCCCAGTGCACTTAAACTACAATTCCAAATTGTTGATAAATGCTGTTTTTTTCCTAGTATAATTATTAACTGTGCTAGTTTTGGCATAATATGGATGGTAACTCTCTCTCTCTATGTGTGTGTGCGCGCATTAGAGTAGGTGTTGACTCCTGGTGCCTGCCTGGACAAAACCTTTGTAGTTTTCGTGGCAAGATTTCAGAAGGGCTTTGCCATTGCTTCTTCTTCCTAGGGCTGAGAGTGTCACTAGCCCAAGGTCACCTAGCTCATTTTGTGCCTTAAGGGAGGACTAGAAATCAGTCTCCCAGTCCTTGTCCTCGTGCCTTAATCGCCCTATCAAACCGGTTCTTGTGTCCCTGTCTTATATTAATTATACTACATCATTGCTATTTATGCATACAGCTTAGCAAACACAATCAGTTATTTCCATTCACTTACTCTAAAACAGCGGTTCTCAACCTATGGGTCGCGACCCCATTTTGGATCGATCAACCATTTCACGGGGGTCGCCAAGCAAGGCTGTCTGCCATTTTTTCCCCCTTTTCCGGTGGGTGCCTTACCTCCCTTGAGCTGGGCCAGCTGGTGGTCGGCCTGCTCCGTCTCTGCCGCTTGCCAGCTACGCCTCGGCCGGCGCAGGGGGCGGAACCACGCATGCGCGGTGCTCCCGGGCAGGGAAAGTCCTCGACTTACGGCCGGTTGGGTAGTCCTCGACTTACGACCGGTTTAGTCCTCGACTTACGACCGGTTGGAGGTCGCGGCATTAAAAAGGTTGAGAACCACTGCTCTAAAATAATATGCTGACATTTTATGGATTCTCTGGATTTTGTATTCCTTTTGTTTTGAGGAACTGTTTTTTTAAACATCAGTTTAGCTCTCTTCCACACTGTTAACTGTTTTCACTTCCCAAATTCCAAGAAACAATTTGGGGCCAGCTTGTGATTATTCTCACTTCCATCATCCTTGAAACGCAACGAAACGATATGAAACCTAGTACTCTCCAACTAACCTGTTTTAAAATGTGATAAATAAATAAATAAATAAAAATATCAAACTGGTAGACGGCCATAAAAATGATATCTGTCCCCATTCACAGTGTATTTCATTCTCTGATTAAAATATTTGTAATGCGCTGGGAGAGGGAAGATGGCTTCAAAGCTCTGGTGCCATGATGATATCATTCCTTTATTAAAATAGCAGACAAATTAAAGCTTGAAGTTATGATGGCTTATCTCCACCAGGAGTTACATTGTATAATACACTGTATAATGTAACAATAATGTGATTTACGTTGAACAATAATGTGGTTATTTTTATTTAGCATGTAATATGTACACACCCACCATTTATTAACTATAGTTATATGGTGCAATATGTTGTGCAAGTTCAGCTATTACATAAAGAAGATCAGTTAATGTACCATACAGTATATCATATCTGATGCCATAATGCATTAGAGGTAAAACCAGGCATAATATTATATTTAATATGTGTGTGAATGTATTTAATATGTTGATTTCTTTTCAATAGTAACAATCCGGAGCTGAATGAAGAGAAAGAATAAAGGAACAATGCCTCCAAGAAAGAAGACTAGCTATTTACAGTATGTAAGGTCTAACTTAAAAAGCTATTATGATACCCACTCACTTTTTCTTCCAAAAGGAAAGTTTCCATCATAAAGTGCTGAACATCATTTCAAGTAAAGATTTTCCAAAGCAAAGATTGCAGAATTAGTACTGGTAATTGTTCTAAATTAATAGGTTCCAAGGCAAATGAAGCCAAATGTAAACACTGATTTCTTACCTCTTTTGCTGGCTTTCTCCTCTGGAAGGAGATGGAATAAAAAAAAAGTTTCTGGTCTTTTCTGTCTATTATGCCCTCTATATATGTTGATTGTTAGCAAAAAAAAAAAAAACAGTTTGCAAAATAAAGCTTCCTAGAATTTTGCAAAAGCTAACAGACTTATCTCTGGGTCATTTATAGCTGGGATGTCATTTGCTTTGTTGGGTTAGAGAAAATGTCTGGACTCTAGAAACAGCCAATCAGAAACCTCTACAGAAGGCTTGAAAACTTGCAGTTCATCTAACAAAAAGCTACAGATAGACATTGGAAGATATTCTCATATTCAATTAGAGCTGAATTACATTGCCCATACGCTAATTTCAATAAATATGTGTATAGTATAGAGCAGGGGTAGGCAACCTTGGCTCTTTTATGACTCGTGGACTTCAACTCCCAGAATTCCTGAGCCAACCATGCTGAGGGGAAAGGGAGAGGTTTCCAAGCTGAGCCATGCTGGCTCAGGAATTCTGGGAGTTGAAGTCCACGAGTCATAAAAGAGCCAAGGTTGCCTACCCCTGGCATAGAGCTTGAGGCTGCAGAATTGTCTTTCTTTAAAGTACAAAGCTGCAACAGGTCCCTCTTCTTCCTTTATGTTTTAACATCTCCTTTTAGTCAAGAGTATAAGCTGACTCAAGACAGCTTGGGAGTCAGCTTTCCTATTAATAAAACCATAATTATTAAACTTCTGGTGGGCTGCTGTGTTTGATGTAACTATGCTAGTTGTGCAGATGTTTGCACTTATAAAATGTCAGTTACATAGCTTCATTTTTGATTCTCTGGAGTAAGACTGTAAAGGTTGGGGAGTGTCATTCTAATATATCAGGAAGATACCATATTACAAACATGCCTGCAATTTATTTTATTTAGTTATTTAGAAAATTTACATTCCTAATTTCTTTGAATGTGGAGCAAAATTTGCCCTCTTTTTGCTTGTTTTCAGCAAACAGTTTGAAATTTTATATTAAAAAAACCATAGTAGTGATTATATACATATAATCACAATTCTTGAAATAAAAACTTCACACAAAAAGATAAAGATTATTTAACATTTTTCTATACATTTTATAATGAATTACTAATGATCAGATAAAGTTGTGAAACAGGTAAAAACTAAAAAAAACCTTGTTGTTATCAGTCCGTATTTGCTCTGTGTTAATGATAAAACCACCTGTTTCTGTGAAGGCAGCAATTCCACAAAGAAAGAGAAGG